TTGGTATTATGACTTGGTTTTATTAACTTTCAGATAATGATATTTGAGTTGTACTGTCATTCATCAAATCCCTGTGACTTGAGTTTTTTCAGTGTCTGGCAACACTTTACTTGATTTATGTTTGCTGTGATGTAAGCTCTCAGTGCTTCTTTTATCTTGTCTCAGCTTATGTCACTGTCAAATTTAATTAACTGTAATGAAGTTTAATTATCTTAAATGGGAAAGTTCAATATCCCCCCATTATATGAATGCTGTGTTGAATGAATTTTATTTTTGGTTTGAGCTTGATTCTACTTCTCTTAATCAGTTTCTTACTCTTGTTTTGTAATCTGCTACATCACTCATGCTTGTTGCCTCTGTCATCATAGACACTTTGCTAGCCTTTGGGCTGTGATCATGGAGACCCCTTTGTTAGCTTGCAAGCTGTTTACATGTTTCCCATTATTTTGGACTGATGAGAATACATCACCATCAGTTCCTTGACTGTTGTGAGTGTACATAGTTGTCAAACATTGATCATGGTGCTTGACATTGCTTAGCAATGGATGCCTCTGCTATATTTCTTTGACTCCATGGTTCCAAATGTTAGGTATCAAGTCACAATATGTATTCCATTCAGACACGTCTTTCCTCACATGTTGAAACAGATGTAAGTATTTCTTCATTTTTAGTAGAAAACAATTGAAAAATGAAGTTGAAGTAGAGTATTGTTATTATTGTAACACTTTCCCATTTATGTGGAAATAGAATGGAGTGGTACAGTGTTGTCCCAAACAGTATAAAACCTACATATATAACATTAAGTTACTTACTTACTTACTTACTCACTCCTGGAGCTGAGCTCTTCTTGAGGAGCCACCAATTCTGCAGCTACTCAAGAATTTCCCAGCATTTTATGTAACTCAAAGGTTCATTACCGTGTTCACAAGAGCCCTCCACTGGTCCCTATCCTGAGCCAGATCTCTCCAATCCACACCATCCCATCCTATCTCTCTAAGATACATTTTAATATTGTCCACCGACCTATGCCTTGGTCTTCCCAGTGGGCTCTTTCCTTCTGGCCTTCCCACCAATATCCTATTTGAATTCCTCTTGTCCCCATTCGTGCTACATGCCCTGCCCACCTCATCCTCCTTGACTTGATCATTCTAATTATACTTGGAGAAGAGTACAAGTTATGAAGCTCCTCATTATGCAATTTTCTCCAACCTCCTGTCACTTCATCCCTCTTCGGTCCAAATAATCTCCTCAAACACCCTCACTCTATGTTCTTCCCTTAATGTCAGAGACCACATATTCTCCTCAAATACCCTCAGTCTATGATACTTCCAGAGACCAAGTTTCACACTCATATAGAACCACAGGCAAAATTATAGTTTTGTATATTCTGGACTGAATGGTAGCAAGCATTACCCCGAGTTCAATCTCCTCAAACACCCTCGATCTATGTTCCTCCCTTAATGTCAAAGACCACATATTCTCCTCAAATACCCTCAGTCTATGGTACTTCCAGAGACCAAGTTTCACGCTCGTATAGAACCACAGGCAAAATTATAGTTTTGTATATTCTGATTTTTATATTCTGGACTGAATGGTAGCAAGCATTACCCCGAGTTCGATCTCCTGAATCTGGTTTTGATTTGTTATCGTCGTTCCCAAATATCTGAACTGTGCCACATTTTCAAAACATCTGTTAACCTATCTTTGTGTCATGATTTTGCCCTGCATTTTGGTGATGAGACAGCAACATATACTTAGTTCTCTCTATGTTTACTTCTAGACCAACCTTACTAGCAACAATTAATATTTGTGTGTTTTTCTTTATGGTATCTATATTACCACCCAGTAGATTCACATCATCAGCATAGACGAACAGCTGATGTGTCCAGTTTAATTTCAGCCCCACCTGGTTTTCCTGGACCTTCCTGATGGCATATTTTAAAGCAACGTTGAAAAGGAGGGGCATATAACATTAAGTTATGGAGATAAATTGCGTCTTTCCTTTAAATATTTTAATCTTATATGACGAGGCTTGCAACAACCGTGAAATGATAAATGTGCAATTTACTGAATTATTCCTACATGTGTTGACCAATGGTATAGCTTCTGACCATATTAAATTTTCCTATGAGAATCTGAAGTTTTCCACCAGTATCTTGTTTGGAATTGTTAATATACAAAAAATATTGGATGCAGAATTTGTAGGTGCCTGTGTTTGTGACGTATCTTCACAAATTCTTATATTTATGTTTCCACTATTCATTAATCACAACATTAAACCAGAAGCTAGATTTACATTTTGTGTTACCACCTGTGTTGTACATTCTACAGATAAAGTTCCTCAACAGAAATTTTATATTTTTATTAAGATATCTTAAGTGTAGTGACCACCAAACATTTAAAATTATATTTTAGTGCATTGGTAATCATGCTATGTTATGCCAACCTTACAAGTTCATGAGATTGCTTGTTGGTATCATTAATGGTAGAAAATATAAAGTTTATGTGTCTTAAGTTGCAGGATGTTCATACCAAGATTTATTAAAACATCAGTACTTTCAAATGTTATGGGCACAGACATGTGGAGACAATACCACAAGCTTATCTTTCCTTATAAAACAAAGAAAGTAGGCTAGGAAGATACTTTCCTTCATGACATTTATTGAGGCACAAGTTGTTTGGACTGTTGATTGGAATGCATGCTTTCATATTGTGAATTTCCTTGTACCATGTGACGTGTTCATGTAAGTCAGAATTCCTTAATTTTTGTGGTATTCCGTAAAGTGTCCACTTCCATCCAGACATGTGGCAAATAGAGAAAAGTGCACTGTACATATAAGTAAATTAAAAATATTGAATCATTGTATCAGGTCTGAATTGGAAGTAATGTCACTACAGTTGTAATATTTTGCATTTCTGCCATTTTGGCCTTAGTGACATGAAAGAAAAAGTTTATACTCACAGATTTCTTGAAGAGGTACATGTTTAGAAAGTACAGAACTGCAGCCATTTGAGGGTTGGTCATTGTATTTGAAAAACCTCTTCACCATCAAACAGTGTTTTTCCAGTAAAGGAAGTTACAGCTGACAGTATTAAATTTAATGATTTGTCCTCCATCAACCACATGCTTCAGAAATGACAGAAAGATACAAATGACTCAGATTTATGTTGCTTGACATGAATGTTATTTCTTTGAATATCAGCAATCTCAGTGAGAACTTTAACTGTGAAACCCCCACATTTTCAGAGTACACTCTTGGAACCATTGATTTGAGGTATTGTGCCTATATGTCCTACCATAACACCGCATATCTTTTCTCATCCTGTCCACAGAGAATGTTATTATGATGAAGTTTTTTGCAGTACTATTTTATGGTCTGATGGTCCCATTTTTAATATCTGCTCAGAGACATTATCCTGAGGTTTTGCCATGGTTTTTTTCACTTTTTCCAGCCAAATGCCAGCTAGCAGAGTATAATGGATGAAACCAGTTCCACATTCTTTTCTATTAATTATTCACTGTCATTCTGTCACTTGGTGTTCTGTAAATTATGTAATTGAGATGAGAAAGCATCATTAAATAACTTAGGAATCACTATGAAAGCTTGCCTTAGACACATTCTGGGATAGTATCTTGAAGGATGCCCCAACTGCTTCCCTCCCCTCTCCTTCCTATTATTAACTGTAATCATTCATTTCTGAGTAATCTGTGCTGGTGGTACATTTTCATTAAATAATATAAATAAATAAACATGATTCTTGTTTTTCCCAGGACTCAGGAAGATGATTAGGTCTACTTTTCTAGGATTTGAAGTTTTCACAGCAGTCAAGATTCATGTTGTTTTGTGGGTTATGAGAACATGTACTTAAAATCTCAGTCCAGAGACCAACTATCGTGACAGGGTTTTCATGGTTTTCCTCATTCCTTTCAGACAAACATTAAAATAATAACTAAAGTTAGGACATGACCATTTTCAACATCCTTTCCAATTAATTCTTAGTTCATTCTGTTTTTTAAGACTACATTGTCTTAGCTGCTGACAGCATCATAAAATAAGTCCATCAAATAACACCATGTAGTCTGCCAGTGTCATAACTGATAAGACCATAATAAATGATCACTATTGCTTGTCCATTATAAACAAAAGCTTAGTAAAGCATGGGTAATGGGCTCTCTTAGAGGAATGTAGGGGGAGTTTATCTCTGACCTTATTTCTTATATGTATGATTTGTAGTATAACCTTTTATTTTTCCGCTTCTTCAAATTCCATGTGTACTAATTTTTATAAATATCCAGAATTGCAGTTAATCAGAAGAAAATATCTTTAAAACAGTATCTTTATCAGTAACAACATTTAAGCAGCAGATGTTTACAGCACTGAGGCTAGTCATTTGTATCTGGAGTACTGAGCCATGAATGAAATTTGCACATCCAGACCCAAAATTCTAGCTATAACAGACAACTTACACCTCTAACAGCTGGTGATTGAAGCTGACTGCTCACCACCATCTCATACCAAGCTTAAGAATATTTGCAACTGTACCTCCACCCCCNCCCCATTGTCATGACATGGTGCTTAATTAAGCAAATGGAAAACTTTATCTTTTAAGCTATAAATATTTTATGGGGAACTTTGACTCATCTTGTAGGCATGATTTTTCTCTTCAGTCTTGTAGCACTGGTAGTCAAGAGTGTTCGTAATACGATCATCGTATAGAGATTTATACATTAAAGTATCCTAGATGAAGGGAATGAATCCAATTTCTGTAGCAGTAATTTGATCAAGTAATAAAGTCTTTGATATTGTATAGCCTGGCAATTTTAGCTAAGCATGTAAGTATAAATTGATTGTTTCATGAAAATGCAAAGAACAACCATGCTTTACTCTACTTTCATCCAACAGATAAGATAAATTATTTTATCATTCATTTGTAGCACAGAAGAAAGTAGTTCAGATATTGTCACTGGATTTTGACATTTAATTTGCAAGTATACTTCATGGTTTTTTAAATACCTTTATTTGTAAAACCTTTTACATCAAATGAAATACAACAATTCTGAATGGTGATGTGAGTTCTGCTGAAGAAGTGTTATTTCTTTTTGCAACAATAACACTGTATGACATTAGTGACAATAATGCAATCATGTATTTGAGCAAATTCTGACACAAAATTGGAACCACTAGGGTGAAAACTTTTAAAGTACTTGTTTTATTTTTCATATCAATGTATACTTGTTTTTAAGAGTGGTTCTTTAAGGCAACCTCCCCCTTAACTGTTATGCCTTATTCATTTAATGTATTAATGGCACAAAGGTTCACGAAAATTTTCCAAAAATGCAACCCTCAGACAGTGGGTGAATTCAGGTGTGATTCTTTTCTTTGAATACATGGAGGACCAACTGCCATTTGTTATAAGAAATGGATGAGTTAAGGAATATGACGTGACACTTGCAACATGGATTTAGCTGAATAAGATGCCTTAAGTATGGCGACACATCACCCCTCAGTACAATCAGTATCTGAGTTAAGGTTATTTCTCAGTATTTGTTTTCTCCCTATGATCCATATTAATATTATCACCTTTTTCTATATCCTTATTATCAATGATATAATACTTCATATTTTCTGCACTATGCATGAGATACCTCATTTAAAAGCACTGGCCCTCGTAGACTATTTGGTCAATTTTAAACGGTTCGGACAATGGTATTGTACATTTAGTATTATTGAGAGTGTAGACTTTGTTCATTGTCTTGTTTTTTAACAGAATGCAAATCAGAAACAGGCTCTGCTTCTGTCACCAGGTGGGGAAGCATCTACTCAGTTGGGCCCATAAAAAAACCTCATCTAATTTTTTTGTTGACAAAACCTGACACTAGTGGCTTATACAGTTTCTGTTGACTGACCTAGACCATCCAGCAATTGAAATCAGTTCTTTCTAATGAACTCATCTGAATGTGCCTCTTTCTCTTTTCACCTGAGGAATTTACATATTTCTGAAATGTTGTATTCTTTTCAGAATACTAAATGACAAAGTACAGAAACTTTATTTGGTGTCTGAAAAGATTAGTGTGAAAAATATCTTACAGTCTCTCAACAGTTAAAGCTGTTTGTGGATTTTAAAGTACATAAATTATATGTTGTCATGGAAGTAAACTAACAGAAGAAGGTTTTCTTAAATAAAAACCAATGTGGAAAGGAGAGGGTTAATATTCATGTCTGAATATCACCTGATAGTGCCTAGCAAATTGTGAACTGAGACCCTTCATTATTCTTGATTACCAGCAATATCTTCATAGTTATATTGATAGAATACTGGTATGATATGAGTTGAATATAGGAAACAGAGAGTAAAATTTTCAAATGTGTATTTGATGTATTAACTAAGTTGTATATGTGTACGAGGTGATTGTACTATGGCAGAGCATGTAAGTGTATTAATGCAATATGTTTGGTACACAAACACCTGAGTCCGCAGTCTACAGTTTAGCCTCATTACTGAAGAAGCTTCAAGGGATGTTACCATAAATTTATTTATAAGGTTGGGTCTTCTGTGAGCCACCAGATGATACAATATAGTGGACCAAATTTAACATGCCATGGATCCCATCTAACAAATTTTCTGACCATGAAGCAAATGTCCAAAGCAGGAGACCACAGAACATCAGTTTGGTGATCACATCCACCCAGTACATTCTGAAACAAAATTGGCTTGTCTTAGCACACATTCTTGATTAAATGCATATGATTGGTTGGTGGTATATTTAACAGTGCTGAATACTTCAGTGAGATAGCAAGACTGATTGATGAGTTGATAAGGGTTAGGAGAGAGATGACCGTGTTAAGGTACTATATCAGAATTCACTTTTGGAGACTGCTGAGAATTACATAAAGTCCCAGTTAAGGACTCTGGTAATTTGGTTTAGGTATGAAACAGGTTCATCATTAGTGTAGGTCTCTAACATTACTGTTTCACAAACTAGCTTCTAGAAATACAAAGTTTATTTTCTAATAGGCCACACCATAGCTCAAGCGGTTATTCGCTGGCTTCCCACCGCGGTGGGCCAGGTTTGATCCCGGGTCTGGTCAAGTGGGATTTGTGGTGGACAAAATGGCGCTGGGGCAGGTTTTCTCCGAGTACTTCGGTTTCCCCTGCCAATCTTCATTCCACCAATTGCTCCACAGTCACCCTCACCTATCATCTGGGGGTGGTACAATAGGCCAGAAGTGGCCACAGTACAAGGGACTTAGTCCCACCCCACTAGCATTAAAAATTTATTTTCTAATAAAATCCAGCTTTGTGGTAGAAAGTGTTAATATACAAAAGGGAACATGGCTTGTACTGATGGCCTAGTGGTTTCCTCAGAAGGAAGTCGCTGTGTGAATTCAAACAGAATGGAAAGGTTGACTCCAGTAGTACACATACCATGTTCTTAGTGTCATGATTTTGTGTACCTTCTCAGTGTTGATATCTCTTTATTGTAGATAGAAATATACTGTTGCAAAGTTGCAGTACACATACTACACTCCTTGGAGTAAAAAATTGGGTTACTGACGCAGGAAGTAAACAGTACACTGTTACAGAGCAATGGTGCCTTGTGACCATCTGAAGAGGTGCAAGTAGGACCAGATAAAATATTCCTCCCTGCCCCTTGCCTATAATGAAGGAAAGAGTAAAATTTATATTTATATTTAAATTTTCACATTTTAAGAGTTTAGTTCTTATGGTGCCAAGTACCCCTTCCTCTTTTAACAACTGTGGGCTCATTTTATATTTCAAAGATCACTTTAAACAAAGGAGCTGCAGCCCTCTGTGATCTATAGCTGAACAACTTACTCTTGATAGAACTACAGTGGCCCTTTGAGTTTGTTAGGGTGCAGGCCCTGCTAAGCTCGCCAGTGCCTTTTTCATGGATCTTACAGACGGGCAGACAGATAGATCAGCGCTTTTATACTTTAGATGCTCTAGCAGGGATTTGTACTAAACTAAAAATTCACTATATTAATCACCTATCAAGCTAGACTGACTGCATTCCTCCTATATTTCTTTTAGACTCTTTGATAATCATGGCAACAGATTCACATGACTGTGAATCATTTCAATATTTTCTTTACATTCAGCCTCACAGTTCCTCATCAAATTCACAGTAGATATTTAGTGCCAACACTGAAGTTACATTATTTTCTGTTGATGTAATGTCACCTCTGAAATTACTGCTAGCTCTTGGGGTTTTTAATAAACCATTAGACATATTCATATTGCAGGTTTGTCATTTTCCCATAATTGTATCCAGTATATCACGAATAAATAACACAAGTAAAAGTTTAAAACATTAACACATGCTTTTTTTCAGTGTAGCTAAGTACCTATTGCTGGAGGGAGAATAATGGATGTTCAGACAAGTGGGGGAGATACAAATACACATGAAGTTCCATGAATATCCCCTGTGGGGCCATAATGTGATGACCCAAGCCATAACAGAACAGAGTTGCAAAGGGAAGGTGTGACATAAATAAGTAGAAGGGACTGATTGAAAATTCAGCCAAGCCTAAGGCCCATGATGTGAGGCCATCTCTGGACTCCTTGCAACTGAAGCAACTTCTGTACAGATTTTAATAAACCATCTAATGCAATAAAAAATGTAAACAAATTAGAAATTCATGAAACTATTTTTATACACTGAGAGGTCAAATGTTGATGTCTGATTGTTCAGTGCAGCAGCTTGTGATACTGACCATTATCTGGCGATGGCAAAAATTAGGGAGATACTGGCTCTGGGAAAACAAACAACCCACACATTTTATGTGCAGAGGTTCAACCTCAAGAATTTAAACAAGATAGATGGTAAAGAGCAGCATTATGTTGAAATCTCAAATAGGTTCACAGCTTTGGAAAACTTAAATGCTGGGGTGGATATTAATTGGGCTTGGGAAACTATTAGAGAGAATATACAAATTTCAGCCAAAGAGAGTGTAGGTTCTTGTGAATTGAAGAAGCACAAACCATAGTTTGATGAAAGATGCTTAGAGTTATTAGATCAAAGGAAACAAGCCAGATTGCAGTGGTTACAGGATCCAAGCAAAGTAAATGGTGATAATCTGAAAAAACTAAATGAGGTGCAACAAACAGTAAGAACAAGAATGTCAGAGACCCATATAAAGGAATAAATGAATTTAGCAGGGTTTACCAACCTAGAAGTTACTTAGTTAAGGATGAGAATGGTAATCTGCTTGCAGATTCCCACAACATTTAAAACAGGTGGAAGAACTACTCTCGGTTATTGAATGTCTTTTGCATTCATGAGATAGTGGAGGAAAAAAATGGGAGTACCATGAGACAGTACAACAGATATTCAGATATGTATTAAGAAACCTTATGATTCGGTTAGGAGGGAAGTATTGTATGATATTCCCATAGAATTTGGGGTACCCATAAAACTAGTTAGGCTGGTTAAATGTGTTCAAATGAAATGTATGGTGAAGTCCATAAAGGTAAATGTTTGTCTGACAATTTTGCCTGTCCCCAAAATTGGTTAAAACAAGATGCTTTATCACCACTACTTTTCAATTTTCCCTTACAACATGCCATTAGGAAGGCCCAGGAAAACGAGGTGGGACTGAGACTAAATGGGACTCATCACCTGCTGGTCTATGCTGATGATGTGAATCTTCTGAGGGATAACATAAATGCCATAAAGAAAAGCACAGAAATTTTAACTGATGCTAGTAAGGAGGTTGGTCTAGAAGTAAACGCAAAGAGTACTAAGTATATGTTGCTGTTTCATCACCAGAATGCTGGGTAAAATCATGACACAAAGGTAGCTAGGAGACAGACAATTCGGAAATGTAGCACAGTTCAAATATTTAGGATCAATAACAAATCAAATTTTGAATCAGGAGGAAATTAAGAGGAAATTGAATTTGGTAATGCTTGTTACCATTCAGTACAGAACCTTTTGTCTTCTTGTCNGAAGGTAGCTAGCAGACAGACCATTCGGAAATGTAGCACAGTTTAAATATTTAGGATCAATAACAAATCAAATTTTGAATGAGGAGGAAATTAAGAGGAAATTGAATTTGGGTAATGCTTGTTACCATTCAGTACAGAACCTTTTGTCTTCTTGTCTGCTGTCTAAAAATATAAAAATTAGGCCAGTAGCCTGAGGGTTAAGCTACCAAGCCTATATGGCGAACATGACGCAAGATCTACAAGGCTATGCAGGTCAATGCTCGCTCAGTAGCCCTGGCTTCCCCCCTGACAAGGATCCTATACTGGCTCTGGCCTGCTACTTGCTTGCCCATCTCTGCAGACCCTATCCCTCTCCTCTCTACTGATTTCCCATGTGACCCACTCTCCCTCCCTTCCTGTTCTTATGTAGCTTAGTGTTTTCAACTGATTGCTCGGTCTGCAGCCACCTGCTCATGCTAGTTCCTCGCTCGCGGTCTTTTCTACCATGAAGGTGGAGGTGATATGTTCCTCCAAAACGTTGATTCGCACAAGATCTACAGGGTGCCAGATCCCAGAAGACAGCATTCTTCATAGTCACCACTGTGAAAACCTTGAATCTTACATGTGTGGTATTTGTCAGCAGTTTGAGTAGTAATGGGTTGCCCAAGTTCTCTTCACTGACAGGAGAGAAAGAGAATTGGAAGGTCTGTTTATTTCATGGGCATACTTACCCTACACCAAGCAACGCAACTTTTTCCCTGGAAAGCCACCAAATGAACACAAATAGCAGTGCCATTAAGTCTCATTTGGTAGTGCTTTGTTGGTCCTCCTGTATTATAATGTCTGGTTACTTACACTGTCATGTGCCTTTTTGCTGCTGGAAGTGTGTCTGGTGTTTCATTGAGAATGTATAAACGAGCTGCATATATACAGTCTACAATGTATCTATCAATATCCAGTCCTTCACCATCAATTTTGAAGATTTTCTTTTCTTTCGAATTTATTAGCTTTCTTATTTCAACAACATGGTCATTTTTGAAGTCCCATTGATTATTTGCATAGTATTCAAACATCTCAAAGCCTTTGCTGATCCTGCGTTGAACTCGTAGTAATCTGAAATGCAAAAATTATTATATACAGATACATGTTTTTATACAGGAAAGATTTCTGTACATTACGCTAGGAGTAGAAACATATAGAAAATCTTCACATGCTGGTAGTAGGAATACTTTCTACCATTTCAAGAATGTTTTCCTGTTCCTCCATATGCTTTTGATGTGCTTGTTCAGGTGAAACATGATCAGTGGGAAGCATACCATGTTCACACAATGTATTGAACACCTTGCAAAACACTGTATGATCTGGAATTCTGCACATAGGAAACTGTAAACACTATTCTTCAACAACAGCAGTGGCATTACCATCACAGAAGCTGTGAACATACTGCATATCAGCATATTCGACATTTGTGAAAATGTGCCGCATTATTCACAATACTCCTACAATATCACTATAAACAGCCACAATGGCCAACTAATGCTTCACACCAATTCACATGCTTTAGACATGGGTGCAATACAGTGGGAGGGAGGACAATGTTGGGCACCAAATCCAGTCTACTGTACAGCGAAACAGCTCTATTTCAGGAAACCATGTGGAATAGGAAACATGTACATACACTTTTTTTTTTTGCTTAGAATGATCGATACTATGACTTCCCAGAATACTGACCTGTCCTCTTGGGACACTGTAAACTGTAACATGACAGCTGAAGGCTAGAATAGTTTAAGAAGAAGAGACAGTCATTGCTAGGCAATGATGCAGTAAAAATTTTCCACAGCAACGATTCAACACACAACAATAGAGGAACTGTTGGACACGATGTTTTCTATATGGGCAATGGCGAATCTATATAGCAAGGACCAACAGGAGATAAGAGTCGGTGGTTAACAGTCGCTATTCAGCAGCAAAGAGTCAACAAACAGAAGACATGTGCTGTGTAGTTGTGGTGGTCTGTAGAGTGTGTGAATCTATGAAACGTAGATTAATTTATAGTTACGAGTTATAAGGGTTCAATAAATCCAATTATCATTCCAAATCCTGTGTCTGGTCACTTAACACATGGCAATATACTTGTATATAATGAACAGTATTGTATCTGAAATAAAAGTACTAATTAAAACAAACGTATTTCTTTTGTTGTTTAATTTAAGACTGTTAACATCTTAGACTATATAGCATCAAATGGTAGGCTGATTGATGAATAATGAATTGTAAAGGGTTTAGAAGGAAGCAGTCATAGCCTAATCAAGGTACTGCCATGACATTTGCCTGGAGGGACTGAGGGAAACCACGAAAACCTTCAGGATAGTCAGTATCCCAGCCCAGTTTCGAACCAAGCACCTCTTGAATCTAAATTTGGAGCATTACAAACATCAACCTGCTCTATAACAAATATGTTGTATAAAGTAAAATCTGGACACAGTATGGTAACAGTCAAAAGGATCAACACCTACAATCCTCAGAACCTAACTCCCAAAGAACCACCATAAATTTATGTTCCCTTCTCTTTCTCAGTCTTCCAAGTGGGTATTTCCAAGCAATGTTTCCACCAGAATTCTGTATGCATTCCTAGACTATCCATCTTAGCCCTGTCAAGGTTGGCCAGTTTACATCCTGATGGGAATATGAAAAAGGGACACTCAGATTTTAATTTCTCTCATCTTTCCCTTCTAACATTTTCCTGCATCATCTGCACAGTTCTGCTTTCACTGCTTTCATTTTCCTCACTGGCCCCCTTTTCACACTAGACACCTACCAAATTCACCGTACCATCACCATGACTGTTTTTGCCAAATCAGTTTTTGTATATCACAAAAGTTCCGATATTCCTCTTTTAGGGTTAGTAATTTCTGAATAATTAACATTCCTGTGAAACGGTTTATGGAACACATGAACGTCTTCCTTTATAATCTTATGAATACTAGACTTTAGTATGGATCAGTATGACTGACTTGCCCAACAGCTTTTGACAGAAATCTGTCTTGACAAATTTCAACAAAATCTCTGAACCGGTTTATGGAATACATGGAAAATGCATTTATGGCCATATGTAAACTAGGCTTTGTTATGGATAAATTTAGCTAAAAATTGGAATTGCAAAACAACGTTTGGTGCAAGTCTTTCATATTGAATTTAAATGAAATCTAATGAAGTGTTTATGGGATACATGGGAAAGTTCCATTTATGGTCTTATGTAAACTAAGATTTATTGTGGATAGATATGGCAGGCAATAATAATTTTCAAGTAACTTTTGATGAAAATCTCCTGTATCGAGCATGAATAGCATCTGTGGATCCGTTTATGGGAAACATGGAAAATTTCACTTATGGCCTTATGTAAATGAGACTTTGTTATTGATAAATATGTGTGAGAAGATAAATTTCCTGGTGGGAGAGATAGTATTCCTGCACAGCTTTGCACTGTTTCATTGTGTCAGAAATTTATTATGAATACTGAAGAGGGACTATTATTTTCAAATGAGTTCTTCAGTTGAATATTTGTAATGATGTAGAAGTATTTCATCTGGTGCCTGATTATATTGCAGTCAAGGGTTAGGCTAATGGCCTATTCTGGTTTCTATGAATCCCACCTTTTGCATGGTCTATCAGGATCTCTTCTTCCTCTGGATCTGTACCAAAAATCATGCTTCAACACTTGTTCTCCTCCCATCATTTCCACACATTCAAGCCTACCTTGTCTGAATTTTCTTATTCTGACAGTCATTGAGAACAATCGTGATTCTTTCCTTGTAACTACCTGCAGCTTTGTACAAACTTTACAGATCTTAGGAATCCATCACCTCAGCAGGACACCACCTTTTCATGGTGGGGGGTTAGTGAGTTCCAATGAAGCTGGGAGCTATGCCAATGGGTTCAAGCCCCTGGCAGGGTTATCCTAGCCAGACAGGCCCTAGCAGAGGAGCCAGCTGAAGCATGTCCCACAGTGATAGGTCGGGGAAGGAGCTCTTTTCAAGCATGGTTAAGTGAATCGACCTAAGGGATAAACAGAAAATCTTAATCCTCCAGGTTTGAGGGTTGTGAAGGGGGTTAGTAGTTTTCCCACAGAAAACTTTATCTACTTGTTAGCTTCAAAGAAATAAGCCAAGTGAGCTTGGTAACAAATTATGCATGCACTGCTACTAAGTGACACTATTATTACAGTAGTAGAGACTCCTTATGCTGTGGTAGAATGTTCAAAGGTACTACATGAACCAGAAATTATTTTCACATTTAAGTAGGAGGGAATGATGCTTCAGATAATGTTTATACTAACATTGGTTTGTTTCCTGATAGAAAGATTAGTGCATCTATCAGGTAGGCTGGCAGATAATGGAAAAGGATTACACAAATGTTGTGAACCAATCTGCTCTTCTTCATGCTGCCTCCTGGATACCATACCACTCCATTGAAGGGCACCTCTGCTTTGATGGCATGACGACCCCTTTCAATGATCTCTTCCCATGTGATTTTTAATTCTGAACTGGATGTGAGATGGCATACTCGTCTCTCATGATCCCTGTAACAGACACACAGTGTGTTGTAATTTCCTCATGACCCTGAACAGACTTTAGCTGTGGAATATTGTAGGTGAGAGCCCTGGACACTGTTTTGTTTGTACAAGATTTAAGGTTTTCATGGCAGTGAGATTTCAGATTATAATTAACCGAGTCATGCCACTGTGTAGTCTGGTGGATGGATACCAATGGAAGGAGGTGTTATCTCCAACTCAAGTTTTTAAGGAACTAGAAAACACTGAGTTCCTCTGACATATTGATATTGGTCTGCAAGACTAAAAAGGCAAATGACTATTTTACTTAATTGGAGTCTTATTTCTTAGTGAAATTTTTATTAAGCATAAACTATATACAGAATTTTCAAATAAAAATTTTATATCTTAATGAGATCTATATTATGTTTATAGCAATTTTGTATACAATGTGTTGTTCTCAAGAAAATCGACAGATTTGTCTTTGATATTTACACAGGGCAAAGTCATGCTGAACAAATATAAACAAAAATAAAATTTGCCTTTTAGATTCCTTTCCTTAATTTGAAAAAATAAAAGTATGCTTATGAGATCACCATACTCTTATGTGTCTGTGAAGCCCCCTCATCAACATTTGAATCCCTGAACCAATCTTTATGAAATTTGGTATGTATATCGTGACAACTGACTTCATCTGAATGGCATACTTAACAAATGCCTCCCAGCAGTCTGTCTGTCTCTATGTTTATGTTGCTAACCAACAGCAGCAACAAGAACTTGTTAGAGGTGTTGCTTTCTATGCAGGCCATATCTTATGAAAGGAGAGTAGGCAATGGGTTCTTTCCCAAACTTCTTTAATATGTACCTTGAATAATAGTCAGAGTCTCCCCATTTTACATCAGTTTTATACAGTTTGTTCAAAGAATGCAGAAAATGATAAATCATAATTCTAATGTATGAGATTTGAGATTTTCACACTGATGTGAATATTTAGATTGTAGTACTGTTAATTCCTCAGAACTCTAGCCATGGTACAGGGGTCATACCATCTCCCGCGGAGCTGGGGGAGCAGTCTTATCAGCTTCTGTCAGTGTGGGTAATACCAGTTTGGAATGTAGCATCTTGGAGTGTGGTCAGGTGTATCGATTCCGCGGTATCTACTCCTGGTCTCCATAGGCAACATTTCCGCTCGGGGAGTAGCTCTGAACGTCACCACAGCAAGTGTACAGCTTCGCGTTCTCCACAACAGCATTTACCTTTCCGCGCTGCTAAAGTTATATATATTCTATATTTTGGGTTATGACTCTGTGTAGGTTTATATGTGTTTATAACCTGCAAGACTAGACAGCATCACATTTGAGTTTCCAGTGTCTCGCTTACACCCAGATTACCTTGACCTGCTGTGACTTACTTATTGCTAATGAAATTCCATGCAGCAAGGAGTACTCCATTAACTGCAATGTCCACAGGAAGATAGTCTGCATATCCCTGTTGGTTGCAATACATAGTGCGGATGACACCTTTGCCTGCTCCAATTAGAAGCCCCATAGGTCCGTTGATATTGTCAGTCCACCCTGGCAGTGGTTCTTTCCATATTGGTATCACTGAAATGATATCAGAAATATCAGTGTACCAAACGTGATCACTTTATTTACAATTTGCTTGGAGAGTTGTGCCACACAATCAACCATGATTTTCTCTCTGCAGAATGCTAAGCCAAGGACTTTCAGTCTACTTTTTCATTTGTAACATGTTTCATGTTACAGGAACAGTACCTGTTATAGAGAGAGCAGGGTTTATGTTTCTGATTACTGGGGAGCAGATGGTTGTAGACAATTATTTACACTCCAAATTATGCTGAAATGAGTGCATTCATTATCTTTATTTCTCTGTCTTCAGCCTGTATTCTGTGACAACAACAGCTTTTCTTTTCTACTGGGCAGCTTGTTTGATGGTAATAAAATCTCTTTTAATGGATTAAAGTGATCAAAATAATGACAAGTGCTTAGAAAAGAGACCCATGTAGAAATTATTTCAGAACCATATAATACCCCTAATCAGTGAGCTGTGATTAGTTTTAATAGCAGTCATCATATTTGACAACTTACAGATGTTTCAGATAACTCAGACATTCATGCAGACAATACAAAACAAAAACATGTTCTTCATAGACCAGCTAATAGCAGCTTTTGCTGTGATAAAGCTGTACAAGCAACTCC